GCCGGGGATTGAACCGGTGCCGCAGAGGCTGCAGGCAGCTTCGCAACCCAGTGCTCAACCGCTGCGCCACCAGGGAGGCCCAACAATTAATCTATTAATGAAGAAGTTACTTGATCCCACGCACAATGCAATATACAAAAGTGAGGTAGAAATAGAATTACAATAAAAAATTCCATTTGAAAAAGAATGTGAAACATGCAGCAACCAATAGTCCTTAGTACTCTTCTCCCAAAACAGGAATTCCTACCTTGGCCATGGAAGACGTACTTGATTAGCCCATCTCAATGCTTTGGCTATATCTACAGTGCCCTGGTTTTACCCTCCTGGAGGTTCTTCCTTATTCAGTATATCCCAGGTACAAAACTAAGTGGATATTGGGGAGTGTGATTCTCCGGAGATTGTCTGAGGACACAAACAATGGCTGGGACTTGAAGGTCAGATTTGTAGTTTCTTTAGCAATACAATTTCCTCAAAATTTAATAGGTTTCTATGCTCTTTTTCCCCAGTCTATTACATATGCTAGACTATACCCCAAAATCCGAAGCTAGCTCTTAAACTTTCTTAGTTCCTAGCTTCTAAGCTTTACTCATTGTTTTCTCATTGTTTTAATGGTGATTTCTTTGAAGTAATCTTAAAAAATAGATGAGGACAACATCAACACCTTTAATCTGATCTTTACAGCAAGGCTAGATGTCTGTCTTTGGCTGAGGAATCTTAATAGAAGGCCCTTAAGAAAGTCTGGAAAACAGACTTCTCTTCTATTTATTTACACTACAGAAATAGTTGGCTTTTCCAACCCTGTGAGTCCCCAGTTTTCTACCTACTATTTCTTTCCATCTCTGCATGCAAACCAATCATTTCTCATGTGAGCTCATTTCTTTCTCAAAAAAACTTTTCTAAACTCAGCAAGGAGCAACCATCATGTATTTATATTCTGGTTCTTTCCAAATGTTTTGCCTAAAATTCAGCCATTGAGTAAATATGATGAGACTTCCAAGTTAAGGAGGTAACACTTTCACCAAGTATTTTGCAATGACATAACAAGGATCACCAGTCTTCCATGCTGCATGACCCACTTCTACGCTACCAACTGATTAGGTAATGCTGTTTTAAGATTTTGTTAGAAGTTTATCATTTCCAGGTATCAATTTTTGTGTTAAAGGCTGAATTGCTACAACAAAGAGAACCCAGAATTCAGTGACATAAAGAAAATACAAGTTTCTTTCCCTCTCACATACTAGTTGGGCCTAGATAATAAACTGTTCTGTGAAGAGATTAGGACACAGATTTCTTCCATCCTGATCTGCCCTCTCATAGGATGTTTTTCTCACCTTTGTGGTTGCAGCTGGTTATTGACATATCCCATGAGGGGACAGAAAGCAGTCCAGGCACGCCAACTTGTTTAAAAGGGTAAGACAAAGTTGTACTCATCACTTCTAGTAATATTCCATTGGCAAGACTTACCCACAAAAATCACACCTAGTTACAAAGAAGGATAAGAAATATAGTCTCCAGCTGAGTGAATAAGTGACCAGGAAGAAAAGAATTGTTTTCAGATTGACCATTATTCTGCCACAAAAAGGAAAAAAAAAAGCACCTAAAGTTAAGAAAACTCAGGGGGAAAAAAAGCTAAAGGAGGGAGGGGGTGGTAAATAGGGATTTTGGTTTTTTTTGGGTTTTTTTTAAAGATTTATTTGTTAATGCATACAAGAGTTGGGATACAAGCCAGAGGTGCAGGGGTGAGAGGATTCACTAGAGACTAGCAGGGAACAGAACAGGCAGATTGACTGAAACACACTGCTGAGGGGAGCAGCGGGCGAGACAGGAGAGGTCTAGAGGTCTGCTGTACCATGCGGGTTGCTCCCTGGCTGGCTGGAGATCGAACTCGTGCTGCAGAGGCTGCGGATTGCTTCATAGTGTGGTGCTTAACCCTTTGCGCCACCAGGAAGGCCCGATTTTGTTTTTTTAAAGGGAAAAAGAATGACACTCTAGCGGAAAAAATGACAATCTATTTGGTAGGTGCCCAAGTGTCCGTGTTATTATTTGTAGTACTTTTCTCAACATATTTTAACATACAAGTTCTTTTTAATTTTAAGGGAAATAGATGAAGACCCAAGAAGATGTGAGGAGAATCAAAAGTCAATGGAGTAAAGACAGTGTGAGAAAAAAATTCAATTGCCAAAAGCAAGAAATCTTAAAAAAGGAAATGCTCTTTAGACTACAAAATCTAGAGGTTACTGGTGAATATTTATGGCAGAAGTTAAATTTCAGTGAATTAAGGAGTGAGCATGAATAAGAAAAATGATACAGCAAGCATGGACTAATCCTTTTTAGAACATAAGAGATAACAAGTCATGACTAATTTCATTGCATGTGGACTAAGATGAGAACCAGTCTCAGGGGGCTGAGGTGGTGTGTGGTCTCTAGAAACTCAGACTGTCCACAGAGCTGGCAGCCCAGCATATTAAAAATGTGCATCTTGAACATCTGGAAGAACAGAGCACCCTGCCTTTCAGAGGTTGGTAAAGTTTTCCCAAAGTTCAGCACTACTCTTGGATGTGGTAATGGAAGCGAATAGTAATGGGTCCTGAAGCCTCTAGAAAGAGTATCTCCATCTCTACTCTCACAGCCGGTAATTGCCACTTCTGCATGCGATAGCTTGATCCTAGAAGAATTAAGAGATTCAAGGGAGGTGTGAAAACAAAAAAGGACCCAAAACACCTCAGCCACAGCTTGAGCTTAAGAAAAAGCCCTCTAACCCCCTTTACAATATCAATGCAGGGGAGGAGGTGGAAATTCAATAAATACGAATGGAGGAGAGGGGTAGGAATGGAGAAGAAGGAAATGAAACTTATAAACTTCAGGCATTTTTGTTGGTAGACTGAACTGGAAATATGACCCTTTTTACCCCAAACCCCCATAGGAGGGAACCCAGAATCAACTAATTCTGTTTAAAGTTGGTTCTATTTCTTCAAAGTGGCTGAGAATATAACAACCTTTTGTTCTTATATGATAAGGCCAAAATTCCTTTAAGGAAGAAAATTGTTCATGGACAAAGGATTAGATTCTGTTGTCTCTGAGGAAAATGAAATTTTCTTTTTTTATTTTATTTTTTTAATAGAGGCATGTTTATTTATTTATTTGTTTGTTTGTTTGTTTTTTGTTTATACATGCACTGGGTACAGTCAGAAGCACGGGAGGGTGAGAGAATTCACCAGAGCCAGAGCAGGGAGCAGAGCAGGCAGAAGGACCGAAGTACACTGCTGAGGGGAGTAGCGGGCGGCAGGAGAGGTCTGCGCGCCATGTGGGACCCTCCTCCGGTGGCCGGGGAGCAGCCGGGGATCGAACCGGCGCCGCAGAGGTCGCGGGCAGCTTCACAACCCAGCGCTCAACCGCTGCGCCACTGGGGAGGCCCGGAAAATGAAATTTTCTTACTGCAATTTCTGCTTATGTTCTAGATGGCACTAGTGGGAAGACAAAAGCAACTTTTGGGAGATTCATCTTTAACCTTACTTATGAGGTTTAAGCCCATGACCCTGTGGGGCCCCAACTGACTGGACACACAAAAAAAAATCATGGATGTTCATGCAGATGAAGTCTGAGGCATGCGTGGTAGGAAAGAAGGAAGCAAGAGATGAAGCTGAATGGTGGAAATGGCTGAATATTTCTGAAGGATAAGACAAGGCCACCAGGCTGAGAGGTTTCAAAGAAAGAAATGCAAGAAAGTGGGTAAGAGGCACCAGAGGAGTAGTTCTCTTTTTGAGGTCTAAGTCTGAAAAGTTCCTCTCATGGGTTGGTCTGTCAGGCTTTTTTAGAAAAGTTATTGGAGAGCCATACGGTGGTAGCAGACAAGGAAGGCTGGCTAAGATAGAGCAAACCTAATATGTCCCATTTATTTGCAAGTTTTATCAGGAAAGGAACTGTTTTTATTTGTAGGAGGAAGTCGGGTCAGTACTAATTCCACCAAGCTCTCAGACCCTTTGTGGAGCTGCATAGTATAGAAGTATCCAGGATGCACAGGGCAGGGTCAGTTCAGGGCAGGCCTGTGGCAATCAATACCTGGCTTCTGTGGCACTGGGAGGGCCATATGCCGAGAGAAACCTCCATATGCTTGGAACCCATCAAGAACAAGCTGCTTAGTAACATGTTCAGAATGACCACCTCTCCATCTCTGAAATACAATTTTGCTCTGTGCTCACCAGACGACTTCAGTTCCATGAAAATAGCCCAATTGCATAAAATGAGACTGGGAGTGGAAAAACACTCTGGCAAGGGGATAAAAGGTGTGGTAAGACTGCAGCGCCATTTTAATGTGGTTGGGCTGTTCCTGACTGGTAGTTTAAAGGAGTTATGCTGAGTCAGACTGATTGAAGGAGGGTTTTATTGATTTTGCTTTTATTTTTTAATGGGAGAGACTTGAGCTTTATAGGCTAAGAGTAAAGACCAAATGAGAGTCAGTGGTTAAAGATTCAGGAAAGAGAGGGCATAATTGAAGGAGGAAACTGACCATAAAAGATTTTATTTACTTTATAGCATCTTTTCAGAAAGGGAAATTTAGAGATTTTTTTTCCCTAAATTTCTAAGTTAAAACACAGTTATTCCAAAGTTGCCTAGGCAAATGCTAATCAAGCATTACAAACACTTACAAGCATTAACACTTGCTTGGGTTCATTTAAATTATCTTTGAACTTACTCCAAAAAATAGACATAACAAGCAAAGATCCCACTGGAGTACTGGTATAAAATGGGGAAATCAAATTTGAGAAACAGCTAAGTTATCTGCGATTTCTATCAAAAAAATTTGCCCACAAATTAATAGTCCTCTTTATAACAAATTGAGAATGGATTCGCAATGAGTAGGGCAACTAATGTTGATTACAGATGAACAGGATATTAAATAAATCATGGAGATAGTGAGAAACCAGGTTAAAGAACACAGCAAGAGTTATATATCCACTGCTATTGCTTTCACAAAACTTCCAAGAGAAAATAACACTAACCTTTAAAATTCTGTAAATTTTATTCTTCTTATCCTCTTCTTCTTAATGTACTTTCTGCATATGTACCTTCCCTAAGCAACATCTCTATGTCGCTGAAGCCATTAGATAGCCATAGAACATCCACAGGAAGTCAAATCAAAGGACCAGCAGTGTTGATTTAGCATGGAAAAGCTTCAATTTCCTCACCTACAAAATGGGGATAATAATAGTCCTTAAGTTCATAGGATGGTTCTGAGAGGTAGTTGAGAAAGCGCTTAAATGCCTACTGAATGGTAGACTGCATGTATTATTATGCATATGAATTTCATAGGTTTGCCTTGTTTCTTCTTCATATAAAGTTAAGGAATAACAGAGTCAGATAAGAACAAAGACACAATGTGTGTGTGTTTCTATCAAGAACAAAAATCTCTGTGGCAACAGAAAAGGATTTCACAGAGGTATAGAAAAAATTGCAGATATAAAATAAAAAAGAAAGGGCCTCCCTGGTGGCGCAGCGGTTGAGCGCTGGGTTGCGAAGCTGCTCGCAGCCTCTGCAGCACCGGTTTGATCCCCGGCTGCCGGGCGAGGGTCCTACATGGCGCGCAGACCTGTCCTGCCACACCCGCTGCTCCCCTCAGCAGTATATTTTGTCAGTCTGCCTGCTCTGCTCCCTGCTCTGGCTCTGGTGAATTCTCTCACCCTCCTGTACTTCTGACTGTACCCAGCGCTTGTATAAATAAATAAATATTTTTAATAAATAAATAAATAAATAAATAAAAAAGGAAAGGACTTTATGGAGGTGCAAGGCAGAGGCTTTGGGGCAAGAGAGGTTTGGAATAAGGAGCAAATCACTGAAAAGACTTCAAAGACCAACAGTGTTTAGTGCAGAAACAGAACTGTTTATTTATGGGTCTAAAACTGAAAATATGGCAGCTTTGAAAATTAAGAAGCTACTGTTGTGACTGTCATTAGTAAACAGTGTAACGTGGTATGAGACTTCTCATGAGAGAGTGGGAAGGCAGAATTTTTAAATAAGACTCTAATGACTTATTGGAACTGATGCATTTGGGGAGTACAAGGGTAGAGATTTAGAAACATCTCTGGAAAAAGGCAGATGAGATGAGATGAGAAACTAAAATTAGTGTGTCTTAGCAATCTCATTGTAAATTTCTCTTAAACAAGGCTTGAACCACACTCTAACAACTCCTAGCTTTGTGACTCAGAGCAAACGATGTGATCTCTGTACCTTAATGTCTTCATTTGCAAAGTGAGGTCAGTTAAGTGTCTACCTCATAGGGCTGTAAGGAGAGTTAAATCAGTTGATCCATGATCTGACCGCCTAGTAGCATACAGTGAGCACACAATAAATGCCAATTAAGTATTAAACAGTTGCCTAAGTCTTTAAGGATTAGTATTCAAGGAGTCCTAGGAAGTGGCTTCATCCAGAAAAAGCTTGCGACTTAAACATATATATTTGACAAGGAAAAAAAGTCTTGGCTATACCCAAGATTATTTGGATTGTACTGGGACAATTTCTGTCACCCAGCCTTCCAGAAGATCTTAATGGTCCTGGTGGTCACAGTTTTGTCTCAAGTCCAAACTAAGAACTCCTTTCCAGCTTTATCCTACCTCCTCATGGGAAGCATAATGCTGACCAATGTGGTGTCCTGGACTCTTGCAGAAAAGCTTCAGTCTTTTTTACACATACTTGACTACTCTCATGAGGACTGAAGGTTGGTGGACTTTGATGGGAAGGGACCTTGCCACCAAGATGCCTGCCAGCTCATTAAAGCATGGGGCAGGGGGCTTTTCTCTAGGAGGCCCTGTTAAGAGTTACATGGTTTACATAGTCAGGCTCATTGTTAAGTCACTGCTGGGATGTTAACTGTTAGCACCTTAGCTAATAAGGCCCCATGCCCAGACCAGTGTGCAGCACATAATAGGTATTAGCAGAACTGAACTGAACTGAGCACCTACACACTCTCAGTGGGTAGGGATATCCACCCATATCCCTATTTACTTCAATCCCCAGAAATCTCCCAGATCAAACATTAATTACTTGAAAATCCCTCAATCTGACCCCATCCCCATTCATTACCAGTCTTCCAACCCTTTCACTGTACCGTTTGGATGTCCTGACTCATAATCTGAAAACTTCAACTTCTTTTTGAATTCTTCTGTACTTCCCTGCATAGCCTCCATCCTTCCTCAGTGTTTCACCAAGAGAGGGCATTTGTTTCTCACACCTGCACAGGAGGAGGGAAGGCATCCTTTTGATCCCTCTTGCCACTTCCAAAACATTTCTTCTTTCAAAAACTCCAGCTCCTTTGATGTTCTTGTCACACAGTTGTACTATCCTGTATCAGGGCTCCCAATAGGAGGAAGACGACACAGTCATATTAGTTTAATTTGAAGGTGATTTTAAAAAGGGATGGTTTACAAAGGTGTGGATAAGGTAGGGAAGGCAAAAGGGATAGTGCATTAACTCAGGGCTAGTAATAGTGAAGCTGCTGCCACTCACGGGTATGATGGCATAAGGGAAGGGAGAATTGGGATCCAGAAGGAGAGACATGTTTAGGAATTTAGAGATAGCTACGTTGAAAAGAGCAGATCTCTTCAGTCAGGGACATAGCCTCCCTTCATCAGATCTGCTAAGGATCCCCACTGGCAAACCCAACCAGAATCCTAGAACAAGGAAACCTGTTGATTGAATCAATAGGTTTCAGCTCCTATGGCACGCAGTGGGTTTAGAAGTGTAGAAGATGGATCTGGAAGGATTAATGGAAGATATCTGGCTTATAACCAATACTTATTCATCCATCCCTACAGTTACCCCCTAAATGCCACCAGTAATAACAATATTGACTACAAGCACCACATTCACTACCACCTCTTACCACTATGGTTCACTGAGTCTAGCTCTTTCATTGCAATTTTTAACCTTCTTTAGGCCTTCAATTTGCTGACCTTACCATTCCACTATTCATTCCACTACCATTCCATGCTCCCACCTCCACTCTCCAGTCTTCACTTCTATTTTGGTCAGAGGAAATTCCACAGCCCTCCCACCCTTGAGAAGAAAAGTTCTCTCTTTATTCACAAGTCTAAAGTCTAACTCTGGTTAAAGCCAACAAGCTACCTTTTCCAATAGCGGAAAAATATATAAAATCATGCTGACTGGTAACTCTATATTACCACAAACTCTAAATGGGCATTCAAATTTCTGGTGGTCACAGTTTTGTCTCAAGTCCAAACTAAGAACTCCTTTCCAGCTTTATCCTACCTCCTCATGGGAAGGCAGAAATGCTATGCTGGTCCAGGTGGGTATGCCACTCTTGAAGATGATTGTTTCTCATCTTTTTTCTTGAGCCTCTTACACTTTGTACCCCCTATCTCCATATCCTCATCTATTTACCTGCAATTCCACACATATCCCAGGATCTGTATCCACAGATCTGCCCTCTCTCCTGTTACCATGAAACAAGGGTCACTCTTCCTCCTCCCAACTCCTCACTTGTGTGCCATATTTCAACCCTTTTCATTTTTTAAAGAAATCTACTCCAACCTCATTCCCTTTCTCTCCAATGTCAATTTTCCCCTGGTAGATCATTTTAAACATCAAATATAACAATTCCATTTTTAAAAAATAAGTTTCTTCAATTCCAAGTTTCCCTCCACTTCCCACCCAATATTTCCATCCCCTTCAAAGAAAAACAAAAATACAGGAACTGCTTTTCTTCATCTCCCATTCCTATCTGCCACAATCACAATTCCATGGAAATGCTGCTCCTGTTACAGTCCCAGTGACTTATCTATCACCAAATCACCACTAACAGCATGTGATGTGAATTCACTCTTTCTTGAATCCTTTTCCTCAGTTCCTCAATCACATGGGCCATTTGTCAAGTGCTCAATAGGTACATGTGGCTAGTGAACAACATGGTCATAAACACATCATCATTGCAGGAAGTTCTATTAAACAGGAGTTTAGTTGTCCTAACCTCCCTGCTGAGATAATCTCTCACTCAGTCCCTTGGCTTTAAATACCATCTATATTCTGAGTTCTAAATTTATACCTAGCTCCAACTCAAACTTCAGATTCATACACAAACTGCCTATTTGATATAACCACTTGAAGTTCTAACAGGCTATTAAAAAACTAACATCCTGAGCAGAACATTTCATTTTCTCCTCCTCTTTCCCCACCCACAAAAGCTTGTTTCTTTTCTTGTCTATCTATTATTAGCAAATGACACCATCCAACCAGTTTTGAATTCAAAATCTGGGAGCCATCTTTCCTCCATTTTTTTTTCACCTCCAATATCTAATCCAACAATAAGTATTATTAATTCTATACATAAAATGTCTCAACTACTCCCTTCTACCTCCACTGTCTTCTTCCTAGACTAAGATTCTTGTCTGGTCTACTATCACACAAGATCTCCTATACCTAAATTTAGCACATAGCCCCTAGACAATTAGATATGTTGAATAAATAAACAAGTATAATCCTACTGAATAGTGCAAAGTAATCTTAACTTAAAAAAACTTTCATAATATTTATCAATAATAGATACTTTCCATAGAAACTTTAGGAAATAGATTTAAGAAGACCCTAAAAATCACCTTCCATACACTGTGATTAGTTATGGCTCAATGTCATGATTCATTTTCCCAACCACTAATACACTTTTCATGCTTTTCACAGCACTATAATTTACCTCCATGCATCTGTTATCTGCATTGTCACTGATACTCATTTCCCCCAAGAGACATTTTAGTTGTTACTTCTTACTCAGCTTATCTTTCCTGCTGAATCTAGTACAGTTTTGACCTCTTGATTATCTACACATTTGGGGTCTGTCACAGTCCAGAATTCAGCTCACCCAGCAGACATTTTTGGTTTTTTTGGAATACCCAACTTCGTTCCTATCTATGACTGCCTAGCTCCTCCCTTCAACTTTCTTGTGAGGAACATGGAAGAGTTTGACCCTAGGCTTAATTCAATACAACTCAACCAATAACTCCAAACAATATCTGCCATTGTCCCTCTTTGATTCTCTGCATTCACAGGGACCTCCTAAATGCCTGATCATCCCATTCACCCCAGCTGCATGCTAAGTGTGGTCAAGCTGATTTTTCCTACAGATACAGGTGACTACAGTAGTAAGGGGACTCCTGAATGTAAGGGTGTATACTGGGGCCCTGGAGAATAGTAATTATTAATGTGCCGGACATCTGCATTGCCTGGGTGTTTACAAAGTTATCTCTGGACACATCATCTTCACGGCAATCCACTCACTATTATTTACCTACCCAACAATCAGCTCCACCCTCCTGCAACTTCCTCCACTCTAAAAGAATGCCCATTTTGTTCCCTATCCACCTTCCATCCGATGGCCAGATTAAACAGGCAAAATGTCCTCTTTCTCCCTTACCCCAGCCAGTTTTGTGGTCTCATTCCTTTTAAGTGGCCAAGTGATATAAATATGGCCAGAAGTGAAAAAATCTGCTGTGAAGGGTTTTGGAAAAGGTTACCTCACCCTTAACAAAAGACCCAATAATAAGATACCTTTGGAGATTGCCTAGTTTGGGTATAATTTCTGAGACCTCTAAAGTCTTCTTTTAAATTTAAGGGGACTCTCTTCATTTTGGTGGTGGGCTGTTTTGTGTTATATGTTCTGAGAGGATTCCTGCTGCATTTGGAAGTGAAAACATTCTTGGCCATAACAGTTGATAGTGAGAGGTTGAAGATGGAATCCAAAAGGAAGGCAGGCCTGGGCTTTCAGCACCCTGTGTCCCTGCCCCAAAGTGGTACTGGGAATGCTTCCATAACATTTGCCTTAGATACCCTAAAAATCGAGTGGGTTGGGATTTGGACATGCTCAGTAGGAATGGTTAAAGGCTAATGGTACTGTAAAGAAATGAAACTTTAAGAGATTGAAACTAGATCTGTTTCACTTATTTCCTAAACTGGAACTCTTGGGTGCTGTAAGTCCTGGATATACAACAGATAGCAGTATTTTTCTTTAATGCATGAAGATGGATGACTCTTCAAATTATTTTTTTTTTAATATTAAATTTTATTTTTATATTCCCCCATACAATTGCAAACGCCCCATTCTGACCCCAATCCTTCCCCTCCCGCCCCCCAACCCCCAAAAAGTGTCTCTGGTTCATAGTTTTTTGTTGATTTTGATTTTCACTTTCTTATATTCATTTTCCTGGTCCCTTATTTAAGTTTTCTAGATTCCTGCTATGAGTGAGACCATCCGGTATTTTTCTTTTTCTTTTTGGCTTATTTCGCTGAGCATGATCCCTTCCAGTGCCATCCATGTTGCTGCAAATTGCATGTGTTTATCTTTTTTGAATGCTGAGTAATATTCCATGGTATATATGTACCACATCTTCTTGATCCAGTCATCTATTTTTGGGCATTTGGGTTGTTTCCAAAGCTTAGCTATTGTAAACAGTGCTGCTATAAACATAGGAGTGCAGGTGCTCTTTGGAATTGATGTTTCTGTGTCCTTTGGGTAAATACCTAGGAGTGGAATTGCTGGATCATATGGAAGCTCTATGTTTAGTAGGTCCAGAAATCTCCACACAGCTCTCCATAGTGGTTGTGACTCTTCAAATTAAAGATGGAAGCTGACTTTCTCACAAGAAATGGTTTATAGTAACAGCTTACAAAACTGTAAGAGGCATGGGGCCTCCCTGGTGGCGCAAGGGGTTAAGATGCAAACTATAATGCTGTCCACAGCCACTACAGCACGAGTTCAATCCCCAGCTAGGGAGCTACCCACTTGGCGCAGCAGACCTCTCCTGACTGACCCGCTGCTCCCCTCAGCAGTGTGTTTCCGTTGGTTTGCCTGTTCTGTTTCCCACTCTGTCTCTGGTGAATCCTCTCACCCCCCTGCACCTCTGCCTGTACCCCAGTTCTTGTATGTATAAATAAATAAATCTTAAAAAAAAAAGTAAGAGGCAGCAAACGAAAGAGTTAAATGTTTTTCTTCTAACATTCTTAGATACTTTGCTAGACTATAAACTCATGAAAGCAGGAGAATTTCCTTATCCTTAATGCCTAGCCCAGAATAAAGTATCACATATTAAAACAACATTGAGATAACTATTTTACTGCTATCTGATAGGCACAAATGAAAACAAACAATTCTGACACATACATGTTGCTGAGTTTGGAGCAATGGACTATGATCTTTGCTGATGAAATTTGTTATTACTTTGGAGAGTGGTTTGGCAATATCTAGTATTTGGAGATGCTTATACACTCAGTCTCTGGGTTTTCTGTTCTATTGAAATTCTTGTCAAGGAGGCATGTACACAAAGCTCATTGCAGTATTGTTTTTAATTGCATAAACCTTGAATGACTGTCCATTGAAGAGTGAATAAATTGCGATACAAAAAAATAAACAAATTTAAGGGGAGAGTGCTTTAGATTGAAGCTATTGATAGGAATGGCAGTGTGGGCAGATGAAAAAAAACCACATCCTTTGTAATATTCTTTTTTTTTTTTTTTTGAAAATCAGGTTTTTTTTTTTTTAAGAGCTATTTATTTATACAAGAACTGGGGTATAGGCCAGAAGCATGGGAGGGTGAGAGGCAGAGTGGGAGGCAAAACAGGCAGATGGACCAAAGACACTGCTGAGGGGAGCAGCGGGCAAGACAGGAGAGGTCTCCTGCGCAAGGTGGGTATCTCCCTGGCCAGCCGGGAGTCGAACCCATGCTGCAGAGGCTGTGGAGAGCTTCACAGCACTGTGCTCCACCCACAGCGACCCCTTTGTAATATTCTTAAGCTGTTTTTCACACTACGTTAGCACTGAATTTCCAACTATGCATTTGTAAACCCAGGCAATTCTAATTCCATAAAAATTTGAGAGACACTGACTTCTAAGCCACAACTATGATCTTTTTCCATCACTTACTAAGTTAGCTTATGGATTCTATCACATTTAACGTTTATGGATCCTAATTGTAAAGAGAAGGAATGCTATTCACCTTATTACTTTATTGTAGGGACGGAAGATTAAGAGGATTTGACTTAAGACTGGATATGGTAAGTACTGTGAGGCCCAGCAGCCTCACAGAAAATGCTGCCAGAAAAATCCCTAAGTGTTTTCCAAACTTGACAACTGATAGAAATCGCCACACTGGCTAGATAAGCTGGACCCAGGCCTTTCCCCTGGTGATTCTAATTTAGTAGCTCCTCAGTGGACCCTGAGAGACCACATTTCTAAATCCACATCTAGGTTCTAGCAAGTAATAAGCAACTTTGAACTTAACAAAGGAGTATACAATGTAGTACTCTTATGCAGTATGAGAAAGGATTTCTGGTTTCTAATCCTACATCTACCACTTTCACCTTTCTAGACAAGTCTGATCATCTGCACACTTGTCCTATGTAACCTAAAGGTGACAGCAAGTGATATTGGGGTGAATGGTCTTCTCTAATCTCAGCACTTTTATATTGCTACTATGTGTTAGTAAACATAAAAATAAGGAACCTTGGAGTGGAGAAGGTGTTTGCTTTACAGTAAAATGAACTAAACATTATTTGTAGGTCCAAGTATTCTCTACCCTGCCCCCCTGAGCTACTGAGTTTCCACTCCTCTCCGGAACATGGCATAACTTGAGGTGTCCACCCTTAGCTACATTTGTTAGGGTCTGAAATTTATGAAAACTCCTAAAAAAGTTTTCAAAAATAATTGGGGCAAAAGATTTGAATAAAGGGCCTAAATTCAATTTTTTATACCAAGGAAACTTTCACTGGCAAAGATCTGCAGTGATGTCTTCAAGTGCAAAAGAAACACTTTCCTCGGCTTGAAAAGGGAGTTTGCGAGGGAGCTGACTATGCCTTTGGCCTAGGGAGGAATCCACGAGGCCGGTTAGAGCTGGATCACCTCATAACTCGGGAGCTCCGGTGTCTGCAGAGAGTGCAAGAGGCCTGCCCTCTTCTAGTGCGGAAATCAAACTTCTCCAGCTGTTAACTTCCAGAATTTCAGCTTATGCCCGGGCACAGCCGCGCAGAAGCCCGCAGGGAAGCCATCTAGAACCCGGACTTCCGCTTCTGCCCTTAGACTCCTCCCAGCGCAAAGCCCGCCCCCGCCCTCATTTGACTCTCCTCGGTACCCGTAGTTCATGAACTCTGACCCCCTCCTCCGCGACTAGTGCTGACGGCGGCGACGAAATTACGCATGCGTCTATTCTTTGCATGGCGAGCACTTGTATTCTAGCTGTAGCGGGGATCGCGGTGGCGGTGTTACTGATACTGACTCTGAGGCTGTGGCTAGTGCTTCATGCCCAGGTCGCTGTGCCGCGTGAGTCTCTCAGCCTCCTGGTGGTGGCGGGGTCCGGTAAGTAGCAGGGCGGAGTGTCAAGCGCCTGGCTGGCACTACAAACCCCAGAATGCACCGCGCGCTCCTCGCTGGTCTCTTTGGCAGGTTTTTGTTATTGCCTGCTGGGAGTTGTAGTTTCTCTGAATTACCGGAACCGGTGGGCACAGCCGATGGAAAGTGCTGGTTTGCTCCTGCAGCTCAGACGTATTTTAATCGCAAAAGAGCAATTTACATTTGTCTGTAATTAAACTTTTTCTGGCAGAGTATATTTTACTAGTAAATTATTGATCAGAGGGAACAGAGGGCGCAGAAACCTCTGAAATCGCTAACATGCAATCTCACTGTATAAAAATTGTTTTGCAGGATTCATGTAGATATTTTGTATTTAATTTAGGAATCGCAAATACTACATGATACATACATGAGGCAAAGTGAACTGTCTCACTTATATGCATATGCAAAATATATAAGTATAAAAACAATTTTCTACTGACCATAGAACAGTGCACACCCCAGGATATCTGTCAGAGTATGAACCAACTGCCCCCTACCAGGTAATTCAGTGTCAGACACAGTCCAGAACTTCTGTAGGCGCTTACAATTTAAAATTTTAATAATGTACATTCTGTGTATAATCCCTCGGAAATGCCAGGGGATTGAATCCAGATAGAATAATATTCATAGTACAAACAACTGTTTTAACTATGTTCAAGTATAATTCATTTCTTTATTCAGTTAATGTATGTTGAGTCATAGAGAAACTAGACACTATGCTGTACTTTGGAGATATGAAAATCGATAAATATTACTTGCCCTGGGATGCTGACTGTGCCCCAAGCACTGAAAGGCATGAGGATACAGCAGTGAATGAAATGGAGAAAATAGGAAAATTAAAGAAAACAAAAACAAAATGGATACTTGCCACAATAAGTGCTATAATCCTAAGTACAAACTATAGTGGAAGGCTTCAGGAAGGACATCACTTTATCTGAACTTGAATCCGGAAGCTTCCTGGAAGCTTGAAAAACAAGGAAGAATGTGGGGAGGTAAGCACAGTCCAGATCCTAAAAAGAGTTTTAAACCCTGCTCTCTGGAGCTATTAGCAGCAATCCAGTACTCTGTAGCTTGTAGAATTAGGACCATAAGCCTCAAGATTAACATAATACTGAGTTGAATCACATCTCTGCCACTTATTAACTTGGTGATCTTGGGCTAATTATTGTTTCTGAGCTTTTATTTCCACCATGAAAAATGTGGGATGAGAAGAAGTGAGGAAAGATGAAATGTGATAGTATTTAAAGTGTTTAGCAAAGTGCTTGATACATAGTAATAAGTTAATAAATGGTACTATTATTAGTCCTGGTTGCAGAGGGGTCTTTTAAAGTGTTTTTTAATGAAAAGTGACACAATTAAATCTCACCTTCACAGAGGTCGTTTAGCCTGCATTATCAAGAAAATGTCATGACAAAGAATGAGGTAGGGAGACAAATCAGAGCTCTAAAAATAGTTGAGAACAGATTATGACAGTGTGATGGGTGTGGGGATAGAGAAAAGTATATGCATTTTAAATGAGATTTAGGAGCTAAAAATCACATAGGACTTGTAGATTGAAAGGGGGATCAGGGAAGGAAAGACTTAAGAGTGATGTCTAAATTTGTGAGTTGAACTAACAAACAAATGGTTGTTAGAGCCATTCACTTAAACAGTATTTATTTTTTTATTTAATTATATCTTTATATTCCCCATACAATTACAACCCCCTTATTTTGACCCCAAGCTCTCCTTTCCCCGCCCCCCCACCCCTCATAGAGTGTCTCTGGTTCATAGTTGTTTGTTGATTTTGATATTTTCTTTCTTATAGTTATTCTTTTTCCTGGTCCCTTATTTAAGTTTTCTAGATTCCTGCTAAGAGGGAGACCATCCGGTATTTTTCCTTTTCTTTCTGGCTTATTTTGCTGAGCATGATCCCTTCCAGCTCCATCCATGTTGCTGCAAATTGCATGTGTTTATCTTTTTTGAATGCTGAGTAATATTTCATGGTGTATATGTACCACATCTTCTTGATCCAGTCATCTATTTTTGGGCATTTGGGTTGTTTCCAAAGCTTAGCTATTGTAAATAGTGCGGCTATAAACATAGGGGTGCAGGTGCTCGTTGGAATTGATTAAACAGTATTAAATTTAAATTGGAATACTGGGAACTAGAATTAAGTTCATCTGTCAAATATGTCCTCTGTCTTTCAAACAATTCAAGATGGAGAGAGGTCAAGGATCTCAAATGATCATTCACGTCAAAGAAAGACTTGTAGATAGGTTAAACAGTTTAATAGTTCATGCCCAAATGTTGGAAGAAGCAGACATTTTCAATGTTTACCTAGAATCTCAAAAGACATTTAATCTTAAGATACTGTAAGATATCATTAATCAACCAATTACGTTCAAAGAACATCAATCATAAATTACTACTTTTCTTTGAGACACCATGTGATCTCCTTAGGCAAATTTTAGGTTTAATATTGAATTCCCATCTATCGATTCATTTAATAATTGGAGTAACTTCTATTTTCTAGACACTGGAGATACAGGAGAAACAAAGTGAACCAAAATTCCTGCTTTCATGGTGCTTACCTTCTACTGGGGCAAGGTGTGTGTGGGGTGGTGTAGTGCCAGCAAGGCACAGAGCAGGTTCTCCATGATCCTCACAGATGGGTAAAGGAGAGTCCTGGAGCCCTCAGTGACTTTTTCAGACTTTTATTGATCTTTCTACACCATTTATAGTGTGGCATCCATGTACACAGCAGGCCTCCCAGCCCCCAGTGAATCCTCACTCTTTCTGGGCTCTCTGGCATCCTCTCACGGTCTCTTCTCCTTTGCTGCTCTGCTCTTTCTGCTGGTGTCCCCGGGACGCTGCCCTTATAAGCCTAGTCTCAGCTCAGGTGTGCCCACCTATGCATGCCCACACCCTCCTCCAGGTGTCCGCCATCAGGCATGCATGTAGGACCACAGGGATCCATCATTAATGCTAATGGCGACAGGGCAGAAAAGCCTGATAATTTTTCACTTACCCTACAGTAACACAATCAAATGGAAAACAAAGCCCATCATTTTAATGACTTTATTCAGTAACAAGGTTAAATTTCCAAAGAATATATTCAGTGAGGGTTTCCTGGGGGGAGGAGGGGGAAAGACTGTTCTAGAAGCATAATGGAGTTTTAATTGCGGTGGAAGGTGTTGTGGACATTAGCTTTTACTCTTGTTTCAGCTGTGAAAACAAGTACCTACTTTGCTAACCATCACACTTTTAAATCTAGAACAAAAACACTAAAATGAGTGTAAGTCAGATGTGTAAATTACTTGCCCCAGTCAAGAAGAAGGGTGACAGGTTTTATGATGTAAGTATTGTTCTAATTCCTGAAACTCATTGGCTATTACTCTATGCTAATTTTATTAGTATATTAATTCCTTCTGGAATCTAGATAGCAACCCTTACCTTTCTACTCTAAGAAAGTGTACCCTGTGGGAGAAAACATAATTTGTTTGATCATCAATTGGTGTGTTCACTGTATCATTATTGAAAATTCTTCCTTATGCACTAAGGGAGATGAAGTAGGGGAGATTTGTAAGTAGGGGAAATAGTGTGAGCAGAGAAAAGTGGTAGACAACAAATAAAATGAATACAGAGAACGTTCTGGACATCAACCTGGCTGAGGCCAAGAAATGAAACTAAGGTGTGACAGGCTCATTGATCGAGTTTGGTTGCTTTGCTTAAATGGCATATAGTTAATGTGAAAGGGAGATGATTTTGGGGTATTTTTCCATGAAGGAACTTCAGTGAACACAAGTGATTTTTAAACACATGGTTTTGAAATTAAAGTAGTAACACTTGGAGACTGTACAGTTTCAAAAGTTCAACATGCAGTTGTTTGCTGAAGCGGCTGTTTGAGGACCTGCGGTGTGCTGAGACCACTACTAGGACCTCTACTAAGAGCAGTGGTCACCAAAAGTCTCCGTAAAGAAGACCCGAGCCCTGTGGGACAGTGCTCCTGGCTCCCTGATGTTACTTCTCAACATAGACATTTTCCGTGACTGTCTTTCCATTTATTAACCTATATTCCTGACCTTGGTTCATCCTCATCCTTCTTCCCAGTTTTCCCACCATTCCTTGAACACGTGACTCAGATCTTGGTATATCATGCCCTAATAATTCCACTCCCTCCCCTATAGCCTTCCTACTCCTAGCTATCCATTAGCTTTACCTTTCAAGCCATCGTAATCCTTGACCAGGAATATCCCCTGCTTTTATGGTAATGTTTTCTCATACTATTTACTTGGTTCCACCTACCATTTGCATTTTTCTTGCTTTCTTGCATTGTTTTCTGTGTGTGTCTTGTTCCTTTCCCACCTGATTTCTTGATAATAGAAACTGTGTCTTACACTTCTTTGGACCTTCTTCCACACCTATTGCTGCTGATGATTTTATTTTTAGACATTTTTTATCTTCTTCCCTCCTATCAAAATAGTACTTACACAAGGGCAATGATTATGGTTTCCAAATGCTCCTTCTGGCTTTTGGGAGACACCCAACGCACAATGATAGTATAACATGGTCAAATGGATATGTCCATGGAGGGTTTCATAATCATAAGTCTTTCAATATTTTTTTCAGGTGGACATACCACTGAGATTCTGAGGCTGCTTGAGAAGTTGTCCGATGCTTACTCTCCTAGACATTACATCATCGCTGACACCGATGAAATGAGTGGCCAAAAAATAAAATCTTTTGAACTAAATAGAGATAATAGAGACCCCAGTACCACAGTAAGTGGCAATTTCTATTACATATTGGTAACGCATTGAGTTTTATTGTCCATTGAAAGAATCTCATGTACTTTTTAAAAAATATTTTATTTTAGATAATTCTTATATCATTTTTCATTTTTGCACAATGTATACATTTTCATTTTGGTTATATTCCCTGTACAATTCCCACTCCCCTTATTCTGACCCTAATCCCTCTTCTCCTTCCCGCCCCCCTCCTGCCCCCTGTCCCACGTGGTGTGTCTCTGGTCTATAGTTGCTTGTTGATTTTGATTTTTACTTTATTACAATTAGTCTTTTTCCTGGTCCCTTATTTATGTTTTCTAAATTCCTGCTATGAGTGAGACCATCCAGTATTTTTCTTTCTCTTTCTGGCTTATTTCGCTGAGCACGATCCGTTCCAGCTCCATCCATGTTGCTACAAATTGCATGAGTTTATCTTTTTTGATTGCTGAATAATATTCCATTGTGTATATGTAGCACATCTTCTTGATTCAGTCTTCTATTTTTTGGCATTTGGGTTGTTTCCAGGTTTTACCTATTATAAATAGTGCTGCAATTAACATACGTATACAAGTGTTCTTTTGAATCAGTGTGTTTGTGTTCTTTGGGTAGATCCCTAAGAGTGGAATTGCCGGGTCATATGGTAGCACCATTTTTAGTAGACTGAGGAACCTCCATACAGCTTTCCATAGTGGTTGGACCAGTTTGCACTCCCACCAGCAATGTAGGAGAGTTCCTTTTTTCACTACATCCTCGCCAACATTTGTTGTTGCTTGTTTTTTTGATATGTGCCATTCTTTTTTTTTTTTTTTTAAAGATTTATTTATTTATTTATACAAGCAATGGGTACAGTCAGAAGCACGGGAGGGTGAGAGAATTCACCAGAGCCAGAGAGAGGAGCAGAACAGGCAGACTGATGAAGTACACTGCTAAGGGGAGCAGTGGGCACGACAGGAGAGGTCTGCGTGCCATGTGGGACCCTCGCCGGCGTGGTATCTCAGTGTGGCAAAACCCACATTTTCAACACAAACCTGCTTTTCCAAAAATGTGAAGACCTGAGAAATCAGAATATATACATTCCAGTTGTTAATGGCTTAGAGTTACCCAAGTAGCATGGGAATTTGCTGTTTTTTCTTTTCCTTTATTTTTTTAAGATTTATTTATTTATGCATAGAAGAACTGGAGTATAGACCAGAAGTGTGGGGGGTGAGAGGATTCACCAGAGACAGAGTAGGGAACGGAACAGGCAGATTGACTGAAATACACTGCTGAAGGGAGCAACCGATGAGGTAGGGGTGGTCTGCTGTGCCATGTGGGGCACCTCCCCTGCTGGGGATTGAACTCATGCTGCAGTGGCTGTGGATAGCTTCATAGTGCTGAGTCTTGCTTCATAGTGCTGCTTCTTAACCCCTTGTGCCACCAGGGAGGCCCTCTTTTCCTTTTTTAAAGTAAAATGGGTTTATAACATTTTATGGTTTCAGTTGTACAGACTTACATATCAACATCTGAATATACTACCATATGCCAGTCACCAAATATTCAGGTTTCCATCCATCACTGTGCAATTGATCCCATTTACCCAAATTGCCTACCCCTTCCCTTCTGGTAACCACTCTTGTTTGTGTGGTCTTAAGAGTTTGTTTCTGTTTGGTTTTATTCACTCATATGTTTAGTTCCGTTATCTACTATATATGAGTGAAATCATCCAGTATTTGTCTTTCTCCTTTTGACTTATTTTGCTTAGCATAATGCTTTCAAGATATATCCATTTTTGTTTCAAATGACAAGATTTCATCTTGTATGTGTATATACCACATCTTTATCCAATCATCTGTCTATGGGCACTTAGGTTGTTTTCAATTTCTGACTATTCTGAATAATGCTGCAATAAATGTGGTGATGCATAGAGCTTTTCAAATTTGTGTTTTTGTATTCTTTGGATAAATAGCCAGCATTGGGATACCAGAATCATATGTATTTCTTTTGTTAATATTTTGAGGAATTGACTTACTGTTCTCCATAATGTCTGCACCAACTTGCATCCCCACCAACGGCATGTGAAGTTTCCCTTTTCTCTGCATCCTCAGCAAAATGTGCTAATCCTGTCTTTTTTATAATAGCCATTCTAACAGGTATGAAGTGATAGCTCATTGTGGTTTAGGGTTTTCTATGTATATAATCCTAGCCTCTGCAGAAAGTAACAGTTTTACTCCTTCCTTTCCTATTTGATACTTTTTATTTCTTTTTCCTATCTAATTGCTCTGGCTGGGACTTCTAATACTATGTTGAATAATCGTGATGAGAATGGACACCCTTGTCTGTTCTTGATCTTACGGCAAAAAATTTCAATTTTTCACTATTGAGACTGGTGCTAGCTGTGGGTTTCTCATATGTGACCCTTATTTGTTGAGGTGTATCAGGTCCTTTCTTTCTGGACTCATTTTACTAAGAGCTTTTATCATAAATATGTATTAAATCCTGTAAAATGCTTTTTCTGCATCTATTGAGATGATCATATGGTTTTTATACTTAATTTTATTGGTGTGGTGTATCACATTAATTGATTTATGTATGTGGAGTCATCCCTGCAGCTCTGGAATAAGTCCCACTTGATTGTAGTGTGTGATCCTTTTAGTATATTGTTGAATTCAGTTTAATAAAATTTTGTTCAGGATTTTTGCATCATTGTTTTTTTCCTCTGTGCTCAGGAATTTTCTATTGATTGGTAAATAATTTCTGATAAGGAATTATTCAATAATTCTCTAAATATTTAAATGCTCATATTTGTCTATTTATGTTAGATATCAGCAGAGTTTTAAGCTAAATTTTAAATTAATGTGATTTGTTAATTTTTTAGAAGATTATTTATGCATTCAAAAACTGGGATATAAATCAGAGATGCAGGGGTGAGAGGATTCACCAGAGAGAGTGGGGAGCAGAATAGGGAGATCCATTGAAATACACTGCTAAGGGGAGCAGCGGGCAAGACAGGAGAGGTCTGCTGCACCATGTGGGTCAGCTCCCTGGCCAGCCGGGTATTGAACTCGTACTGCAGTGGCTGGCAATAGCTTGATAGTGCTGTGTCTTTAACCCCTGTGCTACCACGGAGGCTCTGGTTTTGTTAATGGTAGAGATCAAATACTTTTGTTGCAGAAACTTCACATTTCTTCCAATTCCTTTGATTCAAGGTAATTTTTTTTAAGATTTATTTATGCATACAAAAGCTGGGGTGCAGGCCAGAGGTAGGGAGTCACCAGAGAGAGAGTGGGGAGCAGAACAGGTGGATCTACTGAAATACACTACTGAGGGGAGCAGTGGGCAAGACAGGAGAGGTCTGCCGTGCCATATGGGTAGCTCCTTGGCTGGGGATCCAACTCGTGCTACAGAGGCTGTGGATAGCCTCATAGGTTGTGTCTTTACCCCTTGCGCCACCAGGAAGGCCCTGATTCAAAGTAATTTTTAAATAATATTTAAATCTTTATATATACGGCCTCACTGGTGGCTCAGGTGGTTGAGCACAGTGCTGTGAAGCTATTGGCAGCCTCTGTAGTGCCAGTTCGATCCCCGCTGGCGGTGGAGTAACCCACATGGCACGGCAGACCGCTCCTGCCATCCCCGCTGCTCCCCTCAGCAGTGTATTTCAGTCAGTCTGCCTGTTCTGTTACCCTCTCTGTCTCTGGTGAGTCTTCTCACCCTCCTGCACATCTGGCCTGTACCCTGGTTCTTGTATAAATAAATCTTAAATAAAATAAAATAAAATAAATCTTTATATATATAATTCATTTATAATTGTGCAAGAGTGAAGAGAAATGATTATTCCTGTTATACTTTTTTTTTTTTAAAGATTTTTTTTTTTTGTATTTATTTATACAAGCACTGGGTATAGTCAGAAGCACGGGAGGGTGAGAGAATTCACCAGAGCCAGAGCCGGGAGCAGAGTAGGCAGGAGGACCGAAGTACAGTGCTGAGGGGAGCAGCAGGCGGCAGGAGAGGTCTGCGCGCCATGTGGGACCCTCCTCCGGTGGCCGGGGAGCAGCTGGGGATCGAACCGGCACTGCAGAGGCTGTGGGCACTTTCGCAACCCAGTGCTCAACCGCTGCGCCACCGGGGAGGCCCTATTCCTGTTATACTTTTAAACTCTGCTATTAGCCTGTGTTTCTCTCAGTAGTTTTGCTAGCTTTTTAAGATAAACAGGTTTCTCTTGGGAGAAATAACTCAGTTCCACTCATATAAAGCAATTGAGTTGAGAAAGATGAACAGTTGGAAAGCTAAGCAAAAAACAAACAAAAAACCAAAATGAATAATTAACTGTGAAATTACTTATATGAAAAGATCTTAGAAAACTTTCTAATAAAGTATAATTTCCACTGGGATTAGTTTTAAAGAGTAGCTAAAGTCATATCCTCCAGAAAAATTGCATAGTAACCTTTCCAAATAGGAACAATTACCAGAGTTATATAAAGTTAAGTGAAAAATCAAACCAGAACATTCTGGAAAGCTGTAGGCTCCTTGTTGGCTTGTGTCTTAGTAGGGACATTTACCCTGGGGAGACATGGAAGGAAATGAGGCCCAGATATTGCACTGTGGATTTTGGTTCATTCTTTTATTTGCTTCTGTATTTGAGTCTTATCTGTAAACTGCCTCCCTTGACAACTATTACTCTTTGTGACTTCTGTTAGAGCATGAGTTGGCACCTTTAGATAATACCACTAAAGTAAAAAACTCAGTGAGACTAGAATAAGACATTTTTAAAAATTGTATGTAAAAATTAGAGTCGGCTTTGTTCATATATAAAGCAAAGGGGGATTGCTGAAAACTGATTTGAAGGATTAAAAATTAGAGCCAACCTTTTGCTTTTGGGTCACTTAACCAGATTTCCCACCACTTTATAATTCAGCTTATAATGTTTACCCAGAAAGATTATTTATTTATTCATTTATAGAAAACACTAAGTTAATGTCAATTGTGCATAAAACACTGTGTTTATTTCAGCATAT